CATTGTCGTCCAACCTGAAGACAAGCATTGGTTAGTGACGGATTGTATACATTGAAGAAATTCTAGTTAAGCATGGTTCACACTTTGCCAGGACAGTTGCTCAATAACTGGACTGTCAATCAACTGGCACCAGATAATCCATACAATCTATGACTGGCAGTCCCAACTGTCTAAGTGTACTGGCTAAGTGTGAACCGGTGATTGAAATTGTTAGATTTCTTGACTTATAATCCGATGTTGCTTGCTCTTTATAAAACGGTGGTTAGTTAGTTCTACAAGTGGGTACCTAAATGTGTTGCCATAGTAATTTACGATAAATACACAAAAGATAAAGTTAAAGTAAACAAGGATTATATTTTATCAAATGTATTTGTACAAACAATATATTTGTTTTATGGCGCTTGCCCGATTACATCGTAAACGTAGACTTTGCTCAAAGATTTGTTTATTTATACAAATAAAATGTCATGACAATATTAACAAAACTTTAGTTGCTGTATTCTATCCATCTATACAAATTATAAAATTGGAGTGTCTGTTTCTAATATTAAAGGTGAAAATCCAGATTTCGTGAAGATGGTGTATTTGCGTTGCTGATAACAAAAATCGCATTAATTTTTTTTGTCTGTCTTTCTGTCTGCAAGCCGCGTTTGTTCCGGGTAATCTCCGAAACGGCTGGGTCGATTTCGGCTGAACTTTGACTGGTGGGTAGCTGACAGACGGGCATATTATAGGCTACTTTTTTAAAAATTCCGCCCTATCAACATGGCAACCTGACCGCTATCTCTGGAACGGGTGGACCGATTTGGACGGGACTTTCACTGGAAGGTAGCTGGTAAAAAGTAGATGAGCGCGGGAATGTTATTGAAGTGATTTTTTTTTTGATTCCACGCTAACGAAGTTTCTGGTCGTACCTAAATAAGTTGATAAATACTGTTTAAGTAAGACACGCGTTTTTTCATAAATGTTGTTTATTGGTCCATCGCATTTCGCCCTAAAAGCGTCAATGGCTAAGTTTCACCCTTAACTTGTAATCTTGGGTTCGAATCCCGCCATGTACCAATTTTATTTTAGAATTTAACATGTACATAATTTACCCAACGTCCTTACGGTGAAGGAAAACATCGTGAAACCTGCACATATCGGCGAAGAAATTCAAAGATATGTGTTGAAGTCAACCCGATGTGCAGCGTGCTTGACTATGGCCTAGTCACCACCTTTTTTTCCCGAGGGGAATGCCACTAAACCCCTCGGTTCCTTCAACGCCTTAAGCCGGGGTAACGGGCACGCTTATACTTACCTCCGCGACGGCCTAGTCACCCCTATTGTAGGTTTCAAACAACTCAGAGTATAGTGAGCTGGTGATGATGATATCGCCCTATGAATAATAACCTAAAATGTATTTAAACGCGTTCTAAGTGTTTATGTTAAATCCCTATATATATCTACAGCAATGTGGACAACAAATCAGCTAATTACTACAATACAAGGAAAATTGTTTAAACCATACTCCAGTAGTGCAATGTGAATTATTATTATATATAGTAGGTTTATGTTCTTGTATGTAATGCATATCAAGTTCATATCCAGTCAAGGATGTTAATTTCCTACCCATCTCAATGAAACATTTGACTCTCAATTCAATTAGACTTAGGTTGGTTATTCGAAAGAAGGGGCGGTGTTGAAATTGTTGTAAAAACAGGGCAATGTTGAAATGAAAAGTAGAACACCTCAGATTTTCGCGACAGTATGCTTTAAAATGCTTTAAAAAAACATGCTTTAAAAAACGTATATCAATGAAATTTAAGAAGTCAAACATCAAAAACAATAGAAACATCATGACCTTTCTAAAGTCATTCAAAATATAAGAGTATAAAAAAAACGTTAGGTTTTGCTTTTAAATTATAAAATTAATATAACAATATCCATTTATATTAGGGTTACTTTTAATAAGTCATAAATAAAATCTTGTTAATAACAAATCAATTTTATAAACATTAATAAATCGATAAAACCAAATACTTTTGCATATATGTCTGTATTTATCTATCGTTATTACAATTTTATCTTTATGTACCCTTGATAAGATATAAAATGATATATCTCAAGGTATATTTCCGACGTATTCAAGAGTTAACATATTGTTTTTGATATAGAAAATATCTAATAGCCCTATGTTATGTTTCCGTGTCAACATAGATTTATTTTATAACAAACTGTCGCTAGTAAACTTCATTAGCGCGAATTTGGACTACACGTTACATTTTGATAGCGCGGAATCAAAAAAGTAGCGTATAATATGCCTATCCAAGTCAGCTACCCTCCAGTGAAAGTCCCGTCAAAATCAGCCCAGCCGTTTCGGAGATTACCCGGAACAAACGCGGCTTACGGACAGATACAGACATTTTTTTAATGCCATTTTCGTTACCAGCAACGCAAATACATCTTCCTAAAATCTGGATTTTTTCTTTGCACACAAACAGACACTCCAATTTTCTTATATGTATAGATATAGCATTCTGCACTACTCTGCGTACGGACCTTAAAACGATCCGATCATTACATATTGACTGATTAAACACTCTGTATAACTTACTTGTAAGTGGCGATTTTCTTATCAAAACAGAATCTCTCCTCGCAGCAATTCCAATACATCGTCTCCAGACAACTGGAACAAGGAAACATTTATAATATAGCTGTTGCTCGTTACTTCGTCTTCGTGATATTAAAAATAACACGGTGAAAGAATTTTTGATATCGGCCCAGTAGTTTCCAAAAGTATTTCAATACGTACAATAATCCTAAAATACAAATCTTTCCTCTTTATAATACAAGTATAGAAATACATGTTCGTGTATTTTTTTTAATTCTTCAGAAAACGGATTCTTCTGTAAAATTTTATGCCATTGAATTTGAATGTATGGCATCTGATCCATTAATTTTGTTTTTGAATTGTCTCTTAGTTTATTATAAACATATATTTGTACATTTTCCTTATACTTAAGTATAATAACAATCAAGGTGTTGTTTTTTAAAACTTCGCTAATTGATCGTGTTATCATATAGATTTAATTAGGTTCATTAGATTATGTAATTTTCCTTTCATTAAACGTAGATAATTATTTTTCGTATACAGTGATCTACGAGTACTAAGTTAAAATTGTTTAAGGAAAAAGTAATTTATGCATACTTACATAAACTATAATACTTAAAAGAATTAGAGTGAATTTAACTAAAATAATCCAGTAAAGTCACATATTTATTTCACCGATAACAATTTTCAAAATAATTAAATCGTTGATTTAGTAAAAAAATTTAGTATACCACCACACTTTCCTCTCGTGCGATCCAAAAAAATCAAAGCCAGATTAAAATAGTTTTTAAAATAAAGAGTATCACAGATTACTATAAAATAACCTAAAATGCCGGATGGAAACAATTTTAATATGTACTGATGAAAATACGAAATACTACATTGATAAAAATCGAGAAATTGTTTGTCGACATCTTCTTTGAATAATAAGTGACAGGACCAATCACAATATATTATGAAATTTTTAACTTCCTTGTGTTGTGTTGAACGTCAAATTGTGAGTCATTGCGCGTACAATAAGACATTCTACATGTGAACATGATACGCACAAAAAATATTTTGTTACCCAGCTCAAGAAAACTTAGTATAACAAGCGTTCTTTGCCTAGTCCTTGTCTCTATAGTCTAAACTCTTCCTATTTATCTCGACACTTGAAATGCCTTATCATGATCGAAGTTGGAAATTTTGTTTAGAAAGGAGATTTGACAGTGATGGAGCTTACTGGTGTCAGTAAACCAAAATGGCGGAGGTTTTGGCAAACATTTGATATTTCGTAAATTACCTATAATGTGATAAACTTATCTGTCTTGGGTACAAGTATCATGGCAGTATTTGACGGCGTTCTATTTTCAAATCTACAGTTGATGAACGTTTTGTACATTTTGTCGATGCGGAACAACCAATAGGACGTTTTTAAATGTGTGCGAAAATAATTCGGTCAGTAGTAAACGATTTGTTTTTTATCCCGACGTTTGCACAATTCAATTACCTAATTAGTTATTTGTAAGAAGAGGCAGAGTTTGTTGCATTGCCACGGACGAGATAATAATTCTCTAAGTAGATTACCGCAAAGGGTTCCGACTGTACTTGGGCTCATTTATCAAAAAAGTGGCATCTTGTACTACAGTATGTACCTTTTTGGCTGTATTCTGTAATTTAGATAGAGCGAAGTGGAGGACATTGACAAGAAAACTGGCGCCACTACCATATAGGATACAAGCTAGGACGAGAGTCTGTAATAACCTCACTTTTCATCTCTACATAGGATTTCACTTTAGTTATGAATAAAATAATCAGATTCGAAATACATTTTAATCGTTTTCCTTCTTTTATTTCCGACACAAAATATTGTCATCTCTGTCATTTCTTATGAAAATAACAGTGACAATACATCAATGCCACTGCAAAGGAATTTTACAGTTTTTATAAGATGCATGATTTAATACTCACTACTGGCATGACTTGCAGATGTTTAGCAACATTTTGATTCACATTATAACTGATGGATGGGTGACCGCGCCCGACTCTCGCCGCAATATCTGTAAACAATAAATGATTGA